ATGCTGCAGTGTTCTGGATTTGTGGCTCACAAAGGGCTAGTAAAACACCAATGTTTTGGCTATTGCTGAACAGCATTTGCACAGTCTCAAGGCTTCTTTTCTGTCCTCCCAGTCTGCCCTTCCTGCAGCAAGATGGGAGGGGCAGGATGTCTGGAGGGACAATGGACAGCTGACCCAAGCTAGGCAAAGGGATAGCTCATCCTGCATAATGTCATGGTCAGCAATAAAAACAGGTAGAGCAAGAAGTGTGTGCACACGGGACAGTGTCTCAGTATGGCTGTTGCTTGGAGACTGGCTGCACATTGAACTGCCTGCAGGATGTGGTGATTGCTCGTGCAGCAGCAGGTTTTCTTTCCCCTCTTCACTTACTAAACTGTCTTTAACCTGACCAACAAGTCTCACCTTTGTTCTTTCTATTCTCTCCCTTATCCTGCTGGGGGTGCTGGTGCCCACCACAACCCTTTTCTTCAACAAACTCAAGATTTACCTACTTAATTTTCCTCTTTCCTAACAACATCTGCAGGTACAAAGAAACTTACCTAAAATCTTGTTAATAAATTGAGGTCTCCTTGATGCAGGCAAATAGACTCCCAAGAAGAAGACTGGAATTCCAGATAAAGCAATGGCAATTCCAATCAATGAATTTATAGTGTCACTATAGAGTGGCACTACCACCAGAAACACTGTGCATATACAGAATATTATGGGGAAAGCCAGGCTCAGCTGCAGACAGAAAAACAACAGTGTTACTGAAATAGTCAGTGTCTACAGTTACAAGCACTGATACAGACTGTTCCCTCTCAACCCCTTTGTGAAATTACCTGCTCTTCCTCTTACAGATCACCTGGCTATTGAGAAACATAAGCAAATAGCAGAATTATTCTGCTGCTAGAAATTGAAAAAGAATCAAAGAGGGTAACTGTTCTGCTGTGCTGCATAGTGGCACAAAGTGTTTTTAGACAAATCCAATAAAACTCAGGAAACAAAAATGACTTTTCTGTGTAGGAGTACCACCTTAAAGCATGAGAAGGTCCTAAGAGGATCAGGTATCACCGGTGCTAAATGTGGTCCACACTGACAGAATTACTTAAGCATTCCTAATGAGACACTTCTAATCCAAGAATAAAGGCTTACTACTATGTTAGCCTGTTGAGACATTCTCCAGTTGACAGAGAGCAGGGATACTGACTGAACTAGCATATAATGAAACAGTGTACTATTACAACAATTTCTTATTCTTAGTTAGCAGACAAGCTAACTTTCATAGTACAGTATAAAATGGACATGTTCTATGTCCTGATCAATTTGTAACCTTTAGACATAATATGTATGGTCCAGATTTTAAACAGTACTTTTACATTATGTGGAAAACAGGGATTTTACTCAACTCTGCAGTAAGTATTACCTTAAGAGGCCTGGGGCGATCTGGTTCCTTCCAACGTAGATATAATTGTCCAGCAATAGACAGACCAACAAAAAACCAGTAACTAAAACTGAAGTAATTAATAAGCTTGAAGACATCTTCCACAGCCAAGTAAACAAGGGTCATAACACACTGTCAGAAAAGAACAGAGTGAGAGTAACAACAAAAGTTTGAAACTTACTCTTTATGCTGGTTTTTGCCTTAAAGGAACACCTTATACTCCCTGGTGTTTGACATGATTTTATGTCTAAAAAAACCACCTTGATGACAGTAAATCTGAAGTTCCCTCATGAAGTTTTTAAAGCTTTTCTTTAAATATTCAAATAGTCACACCTGAGCAGCTGAAAAGTAAAGCAATAACAACTTACATTGAAGAGCAATGCTGGCACAGGTGTGAACCTCCCTATGTGGATCATGGACAACAGATCAGGAAGGTGGCCTTCCCGAGATCCTACAAAAAATAGCCTGGAAAAAAATAGTCAGAAAACACATGTTGAGCCTACAGGTGAGAGAGAATGTATTATAGAAAATCAGAGAATAATACCAGTCCAAAATATTTACACCACTGTATTTCCATACTTTAAACTGGAACCTGGATTCAACCTTTCTTGTAAAGATGTACTGTACCACAACCACTAAAAGACATCCAAGCTTTTAGAAACATGCAGTTAACACCCATTTTAAAAAAATGATCCTACAGGTAAAATAGACAACTTGCACAGTGACTGAAACACATTTGTTTCACAAAATTCTAAAAGCTAGCACTGAAAACATTCCAGCCTATAGAAGAACAGTTTTCAATGCCAACCAGAAGAGATTGACAGGTTGCTAAAATGAGGTCTCTCAACCACATGCTCAAAAAGCAAACACAATTTTATTGTCAACTGTGCTGTACTGACTCCTTCACCAGATGATGTTCATATTTGTTCTCAATATAGAGGCATTGCAAATACAGTCAATGGACAGGAAGGATCTTAAAATGCCTGAAAAAAAAAAAATCTATTCACAACTTTTGATGGTCACATCCACAATCAGTGCTCACAGAAAAGCTTCTATACTGTATCCTAAGCTTTCTGACTGCAGCTTAATAGCAGTAGCAACTTTTCCAGATTTTGTTCCGGAAAAAAAAAAAGCTTTAAAATACTGATGCAAGTAAGTTTTAAGTAAATACATTTGAAAACAAGAACATGTAGAATTATTGTATCAAGTAAAATAGAAAGTAATCCAAATAATCAGAATAATCACCACAGAGACAACAATCATTTGATCTTTAGCTGTGCTCTGCATACACTCAGAACACTTTGGGGATATAGGGCAGTGTACACATGTACAACGTGTAAACACACACAATGTACAGTGTATGCATACACAATGTACACACACAGAGGTTTGAGGTCTATTATTTTATCGTGGCTATTCGTTATAGGCTCAGTTAAGTATTTCTGCCACTCTCGTAACAGATGAGCATAACAGTAACATGTAAAAATGTAACATGTTTGTCAAACTGAGAGAGATATGCACTACCTTGATGATGCTAGAATTGAAGCATTAAGTCCACCAAAACAAGAAAAGGCTACAGCAATGGGAATTGTCCAGCTCATGACACCAAATACTTGGTCAGCAAATGTCTGATGAAAGGGAAAAGAAAAAGGAAACATGAAAATATCGGAAAAAAAAACCCAAAACCATAATTAAAACAAGAACATCAGAACTTTTATAATAAGCTTGTATGAAAAAAATAGTAATATAGTGAGGACAATCCCTTTGTGCAGCACAAAGAAGCACACAGCTTTTGTATTTATTTATGAATTCTAAGTAAGCACAAACTTTAGTCCAGCACCTTGACTCATGTTTTCTGCTCACGAAAACAATGCTCATCCTCTCTTGACCCCTTCAAACTACTGGTCTTCATCATAACATTTACAAGCTAAGGTGATTAACACTCAGAACTGGCCTTTATTTGTACCGTATCAAGTTACCTGGATTTAACAGTAGTCAAACAGATTTAATTACTCCAGGAACAAGAGCACTGCATTATGATCTGTTTTCCTAATGTTTCTGTAGGTCAAAAAAGCCTAAATTACTTAGTATTGTTGGGTGGAGTTTTTTTTTAAATAAGTGAGTGATTTTCATGAGATAAAACCCCGTATTATAATATCACTCTTAAAACCATAAAATGCTGAGAAATTCACAGACATAAATAAAACCTGGCCAGCTAAAGCTTCCTGTTCTTTGTCTGGGTTGACAATGTGGCTTTATTCAGCTCATTATCCAGGTCAAGGTTCAACTCTGCTTAGCTGTAAACCATCATCTGTACTAAAAAGCAAAATGTATTCCATTCTTTTGTGTCACTTAGTCAGCAAAGGCAGACAGAATCTCCTGCTGCTAAGGGACAATGCAAAATCATATAATCACTTTGGTGGGAACCTTGCCAAAAGGTTCAAAGCACCTGTCTTCTCTCTTCCTGAGCTCTTTTTGTTTATACATATCGGCACAGCTTCCCTCAAAATGGAGCTGCAACACAGAGGTGGAAAATTCAAACAGATTCCCACAGAAATTATAAAAATTGACACAAGTATAAAAGAACTAATCCATAATAATTCTATTTCATGCTGGAATCAGAACATTAATTTAGCAAAAGACCATGCCCTAAGAAATATGTTCTGCATACCATGGATTACCCATTTTCAGTCAATTCAAACTGCAACTAGTAACTTACATTATTGCATATAAAAGATTTCTGCTGCTGAAGAATAAATAATTGCTAGAACCCAAAGTACTTCTCTGGGATCCTTATTGGATCTAAATGCAGCTCTGAGAAACCTGCACTTGTGAAGCAGAATGTGACTCGTAATGATCCAGTGAATGAATTAAGACAACTTCTCCAGAACAAGTAAGAACGAGGACAAGATGAAAATTCTAACAGGGAATTGCTGTAATATTTTAAAGGATGATTTGAACCTGGACTGCTGAATTCTGAAGCCAAACAGCAAAGGAAATTATAGACACAAAACTTCAAACTGCTGGAGGATTTTTTTAAAATATACAAAGCTAAGACACAGAGCTCACTCAACAAGATGTTAGAGAATTAAGATGTTTAGTAAGATTGCCTAAAGGATAAGCATTTAGATAAGTAATATTAACAGCTGAAGTTAAAGAAGAGAGAGAAAATGTATAAATAATCTTATGCTAAAGGATGCAAATCAGCTAATATGTCATTTGGAGAAACCTCTTCCCCCCAACAGGAATCTTCCATTTCCTTTTCAAACAGCTAGTAATGGGCCCGTGTGGAATGATAAGTGCAGGACTAACTCAAAAGCCATTTCCATCCTGTAATGTATAGCCAATTTTTCTAAGACATGCTAATGCTGTTTCACACATCTTGGAAAACAATGATCACTCATCTGAGCAGTAGAAACCACAAATTACATACAGATCAAAATGTTACACATGTGATGTGTTCTGGACACAAGCTGTGTTCTGCAACAACTGCTGATCCAG